GAGGAGAAGCAGGATGAAAATGGGGAGAAGGAGGAGGAGGAAAAGCAGGAGAAGGAGGAGGAGAAGGAGTTCGAGAAGCAGGAGGAGGATGAGAAGCAGCAGGAGGAAGAATAGAATCAGGAGGAGGAGGAGAAGGAGGACAAGGACGAAGAGAAGTAGGAGGCGGACAAGGAGAAGCAGTAGTAGGAAGAGAAACAGGAGGAGAAAGAGGAGAAAGAGGATGAGGAAGAGGAGAAGCAGGATGAAAATGGGGAGAAGGAGGAGGAGGAAAAGCAGGAGAAGGAGGAGGAGAAGGAGTTCGAGAAGCAGGAGGAGGATGAGAAGCAGCAGGAGGAAGAATAGAATCAGGAGGAGGAGGAGAAGGAGGACAAGGACGAAGAGAAGTAGGAGGCGGACAAGGAGAAGCAGTAGTAGGAAGAGAAACAGGAGGAGAAAGAGGAGAAAGAGGATGAGGAAGAGGAGAAGCAGGATGAAAATGGGGAGAAGGAGGAGGAGGAAAAGCAGGAGAAGGAGGAGGAGAAGGAGTTCGAGAAGCAGGAGGAGGATGAGAAGCAGCAGGAGGAAGAATAGAATCAGGAGGAGGAGGAGAAGGAGGAGGAGGAGAAGAGGGAAGGAGGGGAAGAAGGAGAGGTGGACGAAGAGAAGCAGGAGGAGAAAGAGAAGCAGGAGGAGGTCGAGGAGAAGGAGGTTGACGAGTAGGGCGAGAAGGAGGAGGACGAGGACAAGGAGGACAAGGACGAGGAGAAGGAGGACAAGGACGAGGAGGAAGAGAAGGGGGAGAAGGAGGACAAGGAGAAGCAGGAGTAGGAGGAGAAGCAGGAGGAGGTTGAGGAGAAGGAGGAGGATGAGGAGGAGAAGGAGGAAAAGGAGTAGGAGACGCAACCTGAGAAGAAGGCGGATGAGTAAGAGAAGAAGCAGGAGTAGGAGGAGAAGCAGGAGAAGTAGCAGGAGACGGAGGACGAGGACAAGGAAGAGGAGGACAAGGAGATGCAGGAGGAGGAGGAGGAGGACGAAGAGGAGGAGAAGCCGAAAGAGGAGGTGGAGAAGGAGGACGAGGACGAGGAGAAGCAGGAGGATGAGGAGGAGCACAAGGACAAGGAGAAGCAGGAAGAGGATGAAGAGAAGCAGGAGGAGGAGGAGAAGGAGGATGAGGACAAAAAGAAGGAGGAGGACAAGGAGATGCAGGAGGAGGAAGAGGAGGACAAAGAGAAGCAGAAAGAGGAGGAGGAGAAGGAGTCGAGGAGGAGGAGAAGCCAGAGGAGAAGCAGGTGGAGGTCAAGGAGAAGGAGGAGGATGAGAAGGAGGAGAAGGAGTAGGAGGACTAGGAGAAGCAGGAGGGGAAGGAGGAGGAAGAGGAGGTGGAGGAGGAGAAGCAGGAGTAGGATGAGGAGAAGACAAGGACGAGGAGAGGCAGTATGAGGAGGAGGAGAGGCAGTACAAGGAGGGAGAGAAGCAGGAGGAGGAGGAGGAGAAGCAGGAGAAGGAGGAGGAAAAGCAGGAGGAGGACGAGGAGAGGCCAGACGAGGAGGGAGAGAAGCAGGAGGAGGAGGACGAGGAGAGGCCAGACGAGGAGGGAGAGAAGCAGGGGGAGGACGAGGAGAGGCCAGACAAGGAGGGAAAGAAGCAGGAGGAGGAGGACGGGGAGAAGCAGGGGGAGGACGAGGAGAGGCCAGACGAGGAGGGAGAGAAGCAGGAGGATGAGGAGGAGGAGAAGTAGGAGGAGGAGAAGGAAGAGGACGAGGAGATGGAAGACAAGGATGAGGAGAAGGAGGAGTGGGACGAGGAGAAGGAGGAGGAGGACGAGGAGAAGGAGGACAAGGATGAGGAGAACCACAAGGAGGAAGAGGAGGAGAGGAGGATGAGGAGAAGCAGGAGGAGGACGAGGAGAAGGAGGAAGAGGACGAGAAGAAATAGGAGCATGAGGAGAAGCAAGAGGAGGAGGAGGAGGAGAAAAGCACTAGGAGGATGAGGAGAAAGAGGAGGAGGAGAAGGAGGAGGAGAAGGAGGAAGAGGACCAGGAGAAGGAGTACGAGTACAAGGAAAAGCAGGAGGAGGAGGAGAAAGAGGAGGAGCAGAAGGAAGAGGAGAAGCAGAAGAAGGAGGAGGAAGAGGAAAAAGAAGAGTTGAACATAGTTGAAAGAATAAAATGGCAATAAATACACACCTATCAGTTATCACTTTAAATGTAAATGGCTTAAGTGTTCCAATCAAAAAACACAGGTAGGTGACCCATATATATGCTCTCTGCAAGTGACCCACCTTAACAAAAGATACACACAAAATAAAAGGAAAAAGATATTTCATGTAAATTGAAATGAAAATTTTAAGCTGGAGTAGCAATACTTGTATCTGTCAAAATAGGGGTTACAACAAAGGCTATAATAAGAGACAAAGAAGGATATTACATAATGATAAAGGGAGCAATACAAGAGGACATAACCCTTGTAAACATTCATCCACCCAGCATAGGAGCACCTAAATATGTAAAGCAAATCTTGATGGACATAGAGGCAGAAGTCAACAGTAACACAGTCATAGTAGAGGACTTTAACACCCCATTGACATCAATGGATATATTTTCCAGACAGAAATCAACAAGGAAACAGCCACCTTAAATGACATTCTAGACCAGATGGGTTTAATTGATATTTTCAGAACATTTCACCCCAAGGCAGCAGAGTATATGTTCTTTTCAAGTGCACATGAAACATTTTCTAGGATAGACCACATGTTAGGACACAAAACAAGTAGAATAAATTTTAGAAGATTAAAATCATATCAAGCATCATCTCTGACCGTAATGTTATGAAATGAAAAATTAATCACAAGAAAAAAATCTGAAAAATACACAAAGACATGGAGGCTAAATAACATTCTACTAAACAATGAGTGGGTTAGCAGTGAGAACAAGGAAGAAATAAAAGGATTACTTGAAACAAATGAAAATGAGAACACAACCCCAAATCTATGGAAAACAGCAAAAGCAGTCCTAAGAGGGTTATTCATAGCATTACAGGCCTATCTCCAGAAACAAAAAAACCCTCAATCTAATTTTATGCATAAATGACCTTGATAAAGAACAACAAACAAAGCCCAAAGTAAATAAAAGGAAGGAAATTATAAATATCAGTGCAGGAATAAATGAAATAGAGAATAAAAAAAAATACATAAGATTAATGAAACCAATAGCTGATTCTTTGCAAAGATAAACAAGATTGACAAACCTTTAACCAGACTCATCAAGAAAAAAAGAGAGAGGACCCAAATAAATTAAATTAGAAGTCAAAGAGGAAAAATAACACCTGGCGCCAAAGAAATACAAAGGATTTTAAGAAAATAGTACGAACATCTATATGCCAACAAGTTGAACAATATTGACAAAATGGATAAATTCCTAGAAACATACAATCTTCCAAAAATGAATCAGGAAGAATTCGAGAATCTGAATTGACAGGTTATAACTCCTAAAATTGAAGTAGTAATAATAATAATTTTTTAAAAACACCTAACAGACAAAAGCCCTGGTCTGGATGCCTTCATAGGTGAATTTTACCAAACATTCAAAGAAGAATTAAAACCTGTCCTCAAACCATTCCAAAAAATTCATGTGGAAGGAAGACTCCCAAGCTCATTTTACAAAGCCAGCATTATCCTAATTCCAAAACCAGATAAAGACACTACGAAGAAAGAAAATTACAGGCCAATATCTCTGATGAATATAAGATGCTAAAATCCTCAACAAAATAGTAGCAAATTAGATCTAGCAGAACATTAAAAAGATTACACAGAATAATCATGTGGAATTTATTTTGGGGATGCAAGGTTGGTACAGTATCAGCAAATCAATAAACATAATATGCCACATTAATTAAATGAAGGATAAAAACCACATGATCATATCAGCAGATGCAGGAAAAGTATTTGATAAAATCCAGGACCCATTTATGATAAAAAGTCTCAGCAAAGTGATCATAGAGGGAACATACCGCAACATAATAAAGGCCATATATGAAAACCCACAGTTAACTTCATACTCAGTGGGCAAAAACTAAAAGCATTTACCTTAAGATAGAAAACAAGAAAAGAATGCCTGGCCCTAGCCAGTTTGGCTCAGTGGTTAAAGCATTGGCCCTTGGACTGAAGGGACCTGGGTTCTATTCCAGCCAAGGGGACACATACCTCAGTTGCAGGCTCAATCCCTGGCCCAGTTGTGGAGCGTGCAGGAGGCAAACAATTGATGTGTCTCTCATGTTGATGTTTCTCTCTCTCCCCTTTCCACTCTCTCTGAAAAAGCAAAGGAAAAAAATATCCTTGGGTGAGGATTAAAAAAAAAAGACAAGGATGTCTGCTGTCACCACTCTTATTTAACATAGTACTGGAAGTTCTAGCCACAATAATCAGACAAGAATAAATAAAAGGCATCCAAATTTGAAAGGAAGAAGTAAAACTGTCATTATGTGCCAATGACATAATACTATACAGAGAGAACCCTTAAAATTCCACCAAAAAAACCACTAGAACTGATACATGAATTCAGTTAAGTAGCAGGATACAAAATAAATATCCAGAAATCAGTTGCATTGTTATACACCAATAATGAACTATCAGAAAGGGAAACTAAGAAATCTATCCCATTCACAATTGCTTCAAAAAGAATAAAATAACTAGGAATAAATTTAACCAAGGGTGTAAAAGACCTGTACACAAAATATGATAAGACACTGAAGAAAGAAATTGAAGATACAAATAAGTGGAAGCATATACTATGTTCATGGATAGAAGAATTAACATCATTAAAATGTCCATGCTACAAAAAGCAATCTATAGATTCAGCACAATTCCTATCAAGATGCCAATGGTACCCACGTGGCTGATCAGTCTTCAGGCCCCAGTTCAAACTGAAACTGCATGACCGAAAGCCACCACCCAAAATCATTTTGTTACTATTCTGCTGTCCCAAGATGCCCAGACAAATAAAGACACTCCTGGGGAGGGGAAGATGGTGGCACTCTGACAAGAAGCAGAGTGCCCTTGCTTCCAGCCACAGACTGGATTTACAGCTAAAATACTGCATAGCCAGCTTGGGAAATCAAGAGACATATACCTGAGTGAGCATATTTTGAGTAAAGAGCACTGAAAAACTATCATAGAATCTGGTAAGAGATGGGGGGCATAGAAAGGGGAGTCCCCCCGAAGCCAGTGCTGGGCTGTGAGGCCCGAGGGTTAGAGGCTGCAAAGCTCTCTCCCCTTGGGAGTGTGGCCTGGCATCCAAAAGCTGGGATCTCACACCTGGAGCAGAGGAGAGGGAAGGAGAGTCCATGCATGGTGGGCAGAGGGAGCCAGGGGAACAGTGTGTCTGAGAGGAGGGGACCCTGCCTTCCCAGTGAAACAACAAGCCTAATGGTGGCAGCCAGGGCAGAAGAGTTTCACCCCAGGTGCTGATCCAGGAAAGGCTGTCCCACAGGGTATGAATAGAAAGAGGCCAGAGGGCTGCACTGAGCAGCGACCTACAGGGACCCTCTGCTTTCCTGTAAGGCATTGTGTAGAACCCCAGAAAGCATCTGAACTGTGTGGCACAGGGAAGAGGAAGAGAGCCCTCCCTCTGCCAGAGAGGGACTGGAGCTGCCAGCAGGGTGGATTGGGACTCCAGCCACTAGAGTTACCGGTGGGGTGAAACAGATTTTTGACCTGCTCTGAGGGAAGCTGGGCTAGCACATTAGGAGCTGCCCCAGCTTTACTGAGATCAGCCGTGCAGGCGACTGCACGGGGCTGACCTTGCAATCCCTCCTGCTTGGATCCACAGCACAAGGGCACCAGATCCTTGCAAAGCAGGTTCTCTGCCTGTTTGTTGCTTTGTGCATTTTTGATTGCTGAATGGGTGTCCACCTTCCTGGCTTGCATTGGGGAGACAGACCAGTGAAAGCTGGGACTTGTGTCTGCATTGTGGAGAGTTTGAACTGAGCACCCTGTAAGATCGCCCACCCAAGCTGGGAAAGAAGGGGTGGAGCATGCCTACCTCTCCTGCAGGCTAGGAGCACCACCCCTAACAGGAAAGGAACTGGTGCAACTCACTGAAACCCCAGATATCCCCCACCAGGCAAGGCCCTGACAGGGAAGGTAGAATAGCTCACAGGATGACATTACAAGAATAAGACTCTCAGGGACTATTGTTTGGGAACTGGAGGAAAAGCTTAAAACCCTTTCTGGGGGCTGGGCAGGCAAAATGCTCACCAGAGTCTTTTTTCTTCTTCTTCTTTTTTTTTAATCAAACCCACTGAGCCCAGGCCACTGAAACTGCAGCAGGCTGTTGTATGGGGAACTAGAACTGGAGACAGGGTAGAGGCTGAGGAGTTGACTTTGAGGCAGAGACTAACTTCCCACAGTGAGTGCCTGGCAGCAAAGCCTCTAAGTAAGGGGAGCAATATCCTGAGCTACCCAGCCAGCCTGCACCCTAAAGACTCTCTTCAGAAGTCTCTGGAGGAACACCAGGCAACCACAAGGGGGAGGCGAAATAGCTGACAGGTGGAGGTGGTCCACAGAGCCTCAGACCAGCCAACTACCTAAGAACATCAAAGCCAAACATAGACAGCTCTTGATATTGGGTGATACACAAGTACCTCCCAGGAGACCTGGAATCAGCGTACAAAACAGTGAGCCTCAGACAGCTCAAGAAAATCACCTGATACTGTCATTCTCCTTCCTTCCTTCCTTCCTTCCTTCCTTCCTTCCTTCCTTCCTTCCTTCCTTCCTTCCTTCCTTCCTTCC